GAAGTCAGAAGAGGGCATCTCTGGAGTTACAGGCAGTTGTGTCTCCGGATGTGGGTGCTAGAGACCAGACCTAGATCCTGCGCAAGAGCGGCAAGTGCTCTATAATTGCTGCACCATCCCTCCAGCTTCCTGAGGCATTTTCTTAATTGTTCATTGATGTAGGAGGAGCCAGCCTACTGTGGGCAGTGCTACTTTTGGGCAGGTGGTCTTGGGTGGTATAAGAAAGGTAGGTTAGCATGAGCCTGAACCAAACCAATAAGCAGTATTCCTCCAGGGTCTCCAATACATTTCCTGCCTTGAGTTCCTGTCCTGACTTCCTTCAGTTATGAACTGTTCTCTGAAAGTATAAGCTGGAATACCTTCCCCTCCATGCATCGCTTTTAGTCATAGTGTTTTATCAACGCAACACAGAAGCAAACTAGAACAGATGATGACATCAGAAAAGCTACATCATAGAGTCTTATTCTCAGTCAACCTTCCACTTCCTCTGTACTTCAGCATCTCTCAGGACCACATGTGGCTGGGAGGCAGGAAGGAACTGCAGGTAAGGGTCTAGTGACCACCCTCAACCCCGTGTAATCAACAACGCTTAGCTATCCCTGTACTGTCTTGCTTAGTTTGTTGTCATGACTGTGAGGCCAGGGTATTCTGTAAGTCACACAGCGGTCTTGGCTTTATGAACAGCAATGGTCATGATATGCCCCAAAGAAATAGTTATACAAGAGGTTTCACTTTTAACTTAATAGCACCAAGAGAAGGAGGTAGTTTTCTTTCTATACTACTAAGTGTCTTGTTTATAGTTTCCTTACAAAACAGACCTTGAAACTTCAGTGACAAATGATCTATCCTTGGCTTTTGGTCTAGAATAAGAGCAACCTGGTTTAGTAGCGCTTTAGAAAGGACATGTTTGGGCATTTTACAGAGTCCAATATCTGTCAGTAGTGAGAGAGAGAGCAACAAAATAAAACACATATACAGTCCCAAATTCACTAGTGTGTTAAAGGACGTAGGAGAAGGAAAGGTGTGCCAGCTTTTTCACTAGCAAAGGCTCTGGGCTTCGGGACAGACATCAGCTTCAGCCATAAGGAGGGCCTTGACCTCCTAGGTATTTAACCCAAAGCTGTTGATTTCTTGGAGAGGTGTGTTTTTAAAAGTGATTTCTTCATTTTATTTGAATCTTCACTCAAGTTTGTAGTCCTCAAAATTTTCATCTTCAAAATGTTTATTTTGAAATGTTTCACAATTTGAAAAAGAAGGGAATGGACACCTCTAGGTATCACTTAGGTGTACCACATTTACTTTCTGCCTCTGTCAGAACACCCAAACCTTGTGAAATCACCTCTCTCTTCTTTAGCAAGTATCACCCAAAAGTAAGAACATTCATGTTTCACCATCTAGCCTCAAGAAAGTGTTTACCTTGGCTGGGTTTGGCAACACATGCCTTTAATTGTAGTACTCAGGAGGCAGAGGCAGATGGCTATCTGTGAGTGTGTTCCAGACCAGCCTGGTATACATTTTGGGACACGTATACCAACCAAATACCAACCATCACCAAACCAAGACCAACAAAGAATGTTTAGCTTGCAGAGACACCATCCTCCTAAGCCAGTTGGAAAAGTAGTGTGTGTGTTCCTGTAATAGATTCCCTTGCTGCAGACTATAAAGTCTGCCTTGCCCATTCCATGGGGTGAGTGGCTGGAAGCTGCCCTGTAAGGCACTCAGGTTTAGGAACAGGGGCCTTATGGCAGAAAGTGTTTGAGAATCACATTAGATAATACATATGGAGGGAGTTTTTAAAATGATAGCCTTGATGTCAATAGAAATTGCTATTCTTCCTGATTAGTTTCTCTTAGTGAAAATGGCATCTAGGAGACGGAAAATTAAAAGGAACACCAGAGGGTGCTATGGTAGCATTTTGAAAATGAAGGAGCCAGAAGGCATGGTGATTATGTTAAAACCCTTTGTCTTTTTCAGACAAATGCATGGTAGTATTCGATTGGATTGCCTTCTAAACTCAAATGTTGTACATTATTACAGGAATACATAAATATTTTCAATGTTAGACCCACGAAACAGCTTATATAAATACAAGTGTGTCTTGTTATGTTGGGGAAAACATATTTTGATATGCAGATTTAATATTCCAAAGAAAGTCAATGATATATGTGCCTTAAATTTTTAGTCTTTAGACTGAAATGTTGGCAAATAAAGAACAGAATAGTTCTTTACAACAACAGAAAGTACATTGCCCAGCAAACCATTTCTATAATATTGTTTGAGTTTTTTTCCCCTTTGGAGGGAATCAAGTTTTAATCTGTTACAGTGGCCTGGCATTACTGACATGCTGTAGTATGTGTTGTACCTAGCCTTTCAAGAAGTGGCACTCATTAGTGAGTGAAGGAGCCAGCTGTCAGACAGAATGTAGACTTTCATGTATTCTACTCTTTGCAAACTGCATTACATTACTTGTCTGTTTTTTTTTTTTTTTTTTTAAATAGGATCTCAATCTGTTGTCAAGGTTGGCCTTGGTTAGGGAAAAGAGGAATGTAGAAAATGTTTTTGAAAAATTCTGCTTCTAGATAGTGTCTTCTAATATGATAGAGAGCTACACCCATGAGGTCTTTATAACATGGTCTCCTATACAAAGTCTGCAGTGATGCCACCAGCTGAGATTCCAATGTGGACAGGGGAAATCTTACAAGGCACACCCTAGATGAAGACCTACAAGCAACTAATGGCAACTAAGCGAGGAAGAACCAGTCTTCTCCAGGAAGGGATCCTCCAATAGCTATCCAATCCCAATTGATTGGCCCTAAACACAATAGAATATTAGTGATACTAAATGGACTTGGCAGATTCTATTTGTATATGTGAGTACGTGTTCATGTGTGTGCTCGTGTGTGTGTGTGTGTGTGTGTGTGTGTGTGTGGTGTGTGTGTGTGTGTGACAGTAGAAGAAGATGTCATGAATTTGAGAGGAAGTAGGTGAAGGAAGTAAGAGGAATTGGAGAGGAAAGACAGTGGGACAGAAACAGTTGTAAATACAGTACTCATATATGAAATTCTCAAAACAAAGAAAACAAAGACCCCGCAAAACCCCAAACCAAAGTAACCAAAAAGAGTGCATATAGATTATTTGGATGCACATGAGAACAAACTTATTACTAAACATGTTTTCTGTCCATATATTTAAAGATTGTTTGGCCTTCAAGGAGGTTGCAAGCACAGATTTGAGAAACAGTAGTAGCAGCATGTGTTAAGATTTCAATAAAGTCACTGAGTGCCAAAGGCAAAGGGAAATGATGCATTTTGTGGTGGACAGGTCTTAAATAGAGATGGGTATGAAGCAATCTAGGGGTCAAGGAACAAAGGAGAGGAGAGGGAGTAAGGAGAGAAGACAAAACATACTGGGATAGCATGAGATGCTAACTGCTGTGTAGTGTGTCTTAGTCTTCACAACAATTAAAAAGGAAACATTCTCAGACCACCTTTCCTCTATTTCTAAAAATCAATCTTCAAGAACCAGGGGACAGATGCCGAATACCTGATCTCAGTGTTTAGCCACAGGAAGGCAGATGGCCTATTCATTTGAGACCAGCCTGATGTGTGGTGGTTTTGAAACCAGCCAGGGATACACACTATAAACCTGTTTCAAACCAATCAATCTATCTCTATCTATCTATCTATCTATCTATCTATCTATCTATCTATCATCTATCTATCCATCCATCCATCCATCCATCCATCCATCCATCCATCCATCCATCCATCCATCTATCTATCTATCTATCTATCTATCTATCTACCAGGAATACCAACCAACCAACCAACCAACCAACCAACCAACCAACCAGGAATATGAGCCCTCCTTTCCCCCAGTCAAGGCTTCAGAGATGTTTTTCTCTCAGAGTTCAAAACATGGTTTACGGGTGTAATGGTTTAAATAAAAATGGTCCCCACAGTCTCATATTTGAATGCTTAGTCACCAGGGCTTTGAGAAGGATTAGGGGGTGTGGCCTTGTTGCAGTAGGTATGACCTTGTTGGAGGAAGTGTGTTCCTGGGAATGGACTCTGAAGTTTCAAAAGCCCACATGAGACCCAGTCTCTCTGCCTTTGCCTCTCAAGTGTTGGGACTAGCGGTATGAGCTAGCATACCTGGCAAGATTTATTTTTATTTTCTGAGTTTGAATGTTTTGCCTGCATGTCTGCTAGCTGCCTATAGAGGCCAGAAGAGAGCATTGGATTCCTGGTACTGAAGTCATACAGTTGTGAGCCACCATGTGGCTGCTAGAAATTAAACCTGGGTCTTTTGGAAGAGCAGCCAGTGCTCTTACTGCTGAACCATCACTCCAGACCCATCTGCTTTATTTTAAGCACACTGGTACGGTGTTCTTTGTTCCCTCTTTTCTTGAAACAGGAGTTTCTCTGTGTTGCCCTGGCTGTCTTAGAACCAGCTCTGTAGAACAGGCTGGCCTCAAGTTTAGAGGTTCGCCTGCCTCTGCCTTCTGAGAGCTGGGATTGAAGTGTGCCTGCCACTGCCCTGCTTGCCCTTATTACTTTTAGTTGACTTTAGAATATAGCATCAGTTTGTGCCAATTACTGTTTATTGTCCAGCAAAGCACAAAATATAGTTTGTTACAATTAACAGACAAAAGGACAGTTATTTTAGAAAGAGAAATTGAGAGTATAGATTTTTTTTTTTTTTGGTTGTGGGCCTAGCCTTTAATGGCTGAGCCATCTCTCTAGATCAAGAGAGAGTATAGATTTTTAAAAAAATATTTTTAATGTAGATTTTGATGTCCCATTACTTATGATTGTAGTGAATGATTATAAAATGGGGCTAAGAGAAAAGAAATTAACAGATATTAAAAAAGAAATTAGCATCTGTGTTCGAATAGCTTATAGTTTATTAGAACACAGAAACCATATAATAATATTTTATGCACATGTGTGTGCGTGCGTGCATGCACACACACACACACACACACTACAGTTTTATTCCAGTAAAAAAAATTACTTTATTGTGGAAAACTGTCAACATAGATGAAAATGGAAAGAATAGTATAATGAAATTCCATGTATTCATCCCCCAGCTTAACTTACAAAAACATAGCCAATCTTACTTATTTTTTCATTTCCCACCCCACTTCTGAAAGACAGTTTTAAACAGTTCCTAAACATATGATTCTATTTGTACACACTTGAGGTATCTTATTCATTCCTTCATCCATTTATTTTTTTGCACATGCGAAGCAAGGAATGTATTCCTGAGCCTCAGCCCCAGCATCAGTTATTTCATATAGGACATCTGAATATATTTTATAGGTACACTTGCTATATAATTTACAGTTAATTTATGTTGAGAAACAAAGTGTCAACTTGTACTTAAACTTTCTTTGGCTCATTACACCATGTGAAGTAGTAAGTTCTTCAGACAGGTTCAGATCCAATCATATTCCAAAGGTCATGCATCTTCAAAAGGTCAGGATTATTCGGATGCTGATAATAATAATAATAATAATAATAATAATAAAACAATAAATACTATTTATATGAACATCTATCCAAAGTCCACAAGCTTGTTTTTCTTTTCACTTCAGAGTTTGAGCTAATCTTTCTTTAGAGAAACATGTACACCATTAACATATACTATTTATATGTAATAATGGGGTCCATTATGACATTTTAAGGCATGTATACAGTGTTCTTTGATCATATTCACTCTCATCCTCCTGGCTTGTTTCGCTCCTTCCTTCAGTAGATGCCCACATTGTTAGGAATCCCTTCTCCTCCTCCTTCTTCTTGTTTTTTTGAGCCTGTCCTGGAACTTGCTCTGTAGACCAGGGTGGGCTCGAACTCACAGAGATCCTCCTGCCTCTGCCTCCTGAGTGTTGGGAGTAAAGACGTGCACCACCGACGCTTGGCTAATTTTTTCTTTTTTGTCATCTTCCTCCATTCATAGCATTAATAACATCTGTGACAGTGTTAACAGACTGGAGGGAAAGGGGGACTTTTGACATGACAGAGTGAGGCCCCTGTTGCTGGTGGTGCTGTTGAGAGTTAAGGCATCCCAGCTGGGGAAGGAGGTGTTAGTTCCACTCTTATGGAAGTAGAACGCCAAAGGAGAGACAGCTTGATGTGTTTGGATGCCACTTTCTGAAAACGTCAACAATGGCAATCCCGAGTCATCCCCATGTGTATGAACAAGGACAGAAACCCAATCTCAGACAACACAGCAAGAGCTGAAAAATGTTGGCATACGCAGGTGCCATGCCTAAAAATGTTCTCTACCTAGGCAATGGAAGGTACATGTACTGTGGAGTGAGTCCTTCACTCCTTTTTCTCTATGTAGTTAGGAAGGCAGGGGGACTTGACCTCTCATGTGATTCCTGTACCTTTGTGGTGGTGGCCGCTTGTCCATCTGTAGTTAGGTGATTCCCTCAGGGCTAGTGAGGGAGTATGATACCTCACGTAGACCTTCCCCTAAGCTTCTGCTCAACCACTAACTGCTTAGGAATTCCTTGTGGAATATGGGAGATTGGTCCATCTGCTAACAGTGCAAGGTGACATTTTTCACTTGTCCGCCACCACTTAGCAATCCTTGTGGATATATTTTATGACTGAGAATGCCAGGGGAAAGGGCTGTGGTAGAGGAACTATGGACCCAAGTTCTCAGGCCTCCCAACCCAACCCCTAACAAATATTGTGGGCATGTTGAGATTTACAAGATATTGCTATTGCAGGGTTTATCTACTATGTTTACATAATGTCGCTTTAAGAATAACCATTTATTTTTCTCCTTTTCTTGAACTTTTTGATATGCTGTGGCAAATGTGTTTGCAAATTGGGAAAGTAATGTCAGTGGAACATTTTCTCCTGTTTCTTTTCCATGAAATAACCTGGCTCCTTACCCCATGGGCCCATTTTCTTTTTCTGCAATGTTTATTCTCTGCGTCCATCCATCTCCCATTACTTTCACTTTAGTTTAGGCCCCACACTTTAACTATCCCTCCTCGTCTTTGCCATGTCTTTTAAGTTCTTTGCCCTATTTCTCTCCTAAATATCATTGTTCTTGGTGTTCACTCTTTGCTTCTATTAACGAAGGCTGTAAATTAACTAAAATAATTAACCCCAGTCTTACACAATCCTGAGCCTCTAGAAATTCCTCATTTGGAGTATTTCTATAGATTAATACCTAGGAACCAATATTGAGCACAGTGTAGCTAAAATTGTTGGGCAAGGGGACTTACAGGAGCCCCAGGACAAGGCAAGGCAGAGAGAGCTGAGGTCTATATATACCTGATACCTGCCACTCTCTGTTCACATCTTAGTGGTTGCACAGGGCGCTGGCCATGAAGGCCCCTTGTCAAATCACAGAAAAAAATTCTAGACTTAGGCACACTGGACCAGCGGAACACTCTGTTATGCTGTAGAAGTCTTTCCTTCTAGGGCTTGAGTTAACAATTCTTTGTGAAAGGGAAAATATCTATCAGTTTATGCCACTACTGCCTGCATAACATATATACATAGCACTGTGTATTGCATAAACGGAAGCCTTTCTTTCTTTCTTTTTTTTCCAAATGGCTATTTGATCTGGTAAACGCATTTGGTGATTTTGATGTAGAGAGTCTGAAGAGACATCTGGTTAGTTGTTAGGTTAAAGAAGAACCCTAAAGGTTGGGGTTAGAAAGTTGGCTCACTGGGTAGGAGCATTTGATGCTCTTGCAGAGGAGCCAGGTTCAGTTCCCAGCACCCACATCATATGGCTCACAATCACCTGTAATTCTAGGTCCAGGGCATCTGACACCTAATCTTGGCTTGCTCAGGCACCCATATGCACATGGTGCGCACGCACACACACACACACACACACACACACACACACACACACACACACACACACAGAGTCACAAATGAAGACTCATCAAGGATTTCTTAACTACTCAGTCATAGACTTGGCAGTTTACCTTTTTCCTGCGTTCATCAGGTCGATTGCCTCATTTATTCTGTCAAAAGGTAGGGTATGGGTCACCAGCACATCCAGATCGAATTTCTTATTCTTGTAGTCAATAACCAGGTTTGGGACAGAATCTACGCTTTTCCAACCTGTAATTTGACCACAATGTCATATAAAGAAAGTCGTGCCATTTGACACACAGCAGTAGTTTAAGTTTTCTCCTTTAAAGACACCTTTATGGAACCCATACATGACATGATGTACTTTGCTAATATCTCCTCTCCTTGAGCTTTCTCTCTTGTTACCTGGCCCACCTCCTGCTGGCTCCTTTAGTTTAATGTCTTGTTTGTTTAAATCTAGATAAGTGTGTTTGTTGAAGAGGGTGAAATTGCTAGGTCAGATCTGGGTTACTTTAATACATTAAGCTTACGCTTTGCTTCATCTTTGATTTTTATGGATTTATTATATTTAAATATTCTTTTTTGCTAGGATGTGGTGGCACACATCTTTAATCCCAGCACTTAGGAGGCAGAGGCAGTTAGATCTCAGGGTACAAGGCCACCCTGGTCCACAGAGTGAGTTCCACGACAGCCAGAAATACACAAAGAAACCCTGTCTTGGGGCTGGAGAGATGGCTCAGAGGTTAAGAGCACTGGCTGCTCTTCCAGAGGTCCTGAGTTCAATTCCCCGCAACCACATGGTGGCTCACAGACATCTGTAATGAGATCTTGTGCGGCATTCAGGCATACATGGAGGCAGAATGTTGTTTACATAATAAAATGTTAAGAAAGAAAAAAGAAAGAAAAAAGAAACCCTGTCTCAAAATGTCAAAATAAGTAAATAAATAATGAAGGGTTTCTTCATAAGAAAAATTCAAGATTGCTATCTGCTCTAGCTAAGAATTACCTTACTTAGAATAAACTTCACTTTTGCTCCTCTCAATGGTTGCTTTGTTTCAATACCACTTGCATTTTTCCCCTTTTCTTTTGAGATAGGTCCATGCTATACAAGTCGGGTAGGCCTTGAACTCAGTATATGAAGGCCTGCCTCAAACTTATGATCCATCTGCTTCATCCTCTTGAGTGCTGAGATTACAGCGTTGGACCGTTAAACCCAGCTACTTAAGCTGAATTTCAGTTTGTAAATTGTAGTCATATTTCCATACAAACTTCATTTACTTTTCAAATACTGGAGTAGTTTTAATATACTCAGTGCTTACACAAATTATTCTTCTTTTCAAAATTCAATAATTCTTAATAATTTCATATAATAGTGAGGAAAATGAAAAAAAAAACTATGAATAAAAAAACTAACCACCAAAGAATGTTCCATTTATAGAACGACCCATTATAATGTCCACGGTGGATATATTCATTTCATCAGCCTTTGCTCCAACCACAGTACACGATCCCCAGCCAAATATCGTGCAGTCCACCGCCGCTTTCTGAAAAGTCAGACAAAAGATTACCTGGCCACATGAAGAAATCAACTCTAGTGTGGCTATCTATGTACAGTGCTCCAGGGAAAATTTATATAATGTTGCCAGTTACAGAACTGGCTAAACTTAAGGAGGTCATCACACTATCTGGTTGAACGTTGAGACTCTAGTGTTTTATCATCTGTAAAGCCTACAAAAATAAATCCTTTTTGTTTTATTTGTCTGTGTAGTCCTGGTTGTCCTGAAACTGGTGTCACACTCAGAGATCTACCTGCCTTTGTCTCCCAAGTGCTGGGAGACACTACGCCTGACTAAAAAAAGTAATCTTAATACCACCCAAAAGATACTAAAAGGAAGTGGGAAATATTTTACCCTGTAAAAGTACTACTGTTTGGCTGCAAGATATAACATGTATATGGAGAACCCCGAATATCGAATTATGAAGAGTCTGTAGAGCATGAACTTTAATCAGTAATGGTTTGGCAAGCTACCACAAACATTTACTAAAACGAGAAATTCATGGGGCCTGGGATCAAAATATTGAAAAGTATGAAGAGAGAGCTAGTAAGTGATTCTGTAGAGCCTGGGAAATGAGTCACACATTGGATACTTAGGTTTAAAAGTAGGATAAATATGGACAAATGCTATTTAAAATTGAGCAAAAATACTAGAAAAGAATACTTTGTTTCTCTACATTTTGTTTTTATACTATGGCTATCTTGTATCCTTCATGTTATATCTGCCTTGTTGAGATTGTGAGGCCATGGTTTTGAACTTCCTTGATTGCTGAGTCTCCACTTGGGAGAGTAGCCCAAGAGACCTAGACATAAGCTAATCATTGAGATGAAGAACGTTGTAAATCTGAGGTTGATGTAAAAATGCTAAGAATGGAAAATGTAAGTTTCAGTGTGGGAGGTCACTTCATGTAGAACCATAGGCAAACAGACAGATGAAATCTTTTGAGACTCATATAGAAGACAAGTTTAAACTTCGTTCACATCCTTTGTGGCCAACTTGATTTTGAATTTTGGGGTGATACTTTACAAAAATCTTTGTTGGCTTCACATTGCTGAACACTGCGTCAGCTCCTGCCTCCAGGTTCCTGCCGTTGTGTGAGCTTTTCCTGGCTTCGTTCAATGATGGACTATAATGTGGAAATGTAAGCCAGAAAACCCCTCTCCTCTCCATGGTGTTTGGTCATGTGTTTTATCACAGCAATAGAAACCCTAACTAAGACAAAGTCTAATGCTAGCTATCATAATAAATAAAAAATGTGGTGGGTAGGTTGCCTTTCCTGTAAGAACTGAGCTGTGGGAAGGAAGTACAGAACAGATGTGGAGACTATAGGCAGCATGCTGGGAAATGCAGAATACAGGGCACAGCACACATGAGAAACCCTGAATAAGCGCTGTCTTCCTTAAAGTCAATGTTTACCAGCTTTTACAGCCTGCTAGATGCTGTTAGGCGGCTTGTGTGGGGCTTTTGAATTGCTTCCTTCCTGGCTCCATTCTTCCAGGGAATGTTCTGGTCAGATAATACCCAGGGAAGGAAATAGCATGAAGTCTGTTTCTTTATAGCTTTTTACCCCTTTTAACCACCCCGAAGAGGAGAGTTAGTAACCAGTGTCACTCACTTGGAAAAACATACCAACTGCTGGTCACCCACATTAGGGAAACAGGAACAGAGAAGATGAATAACTTAGCTGGGGGTCACTTCATCCCCAAACAAACAAAAATTGAAATTAGTGTTGTGAGAAAGTACAAACTAGGTGATTATCTACTGAAGAATAAAGCTGGGCACTACCACAGTCAAAAACTACGGAGACGACCTGTTTGTGATGGGTGGCGCGTCACCTTTTTTACTTGACTTGATAGAAGGGGGAGGACACGTCCATAGCTAAGTAAAAATAAAGGAACCCTCAAGTTACCTGTGAGAAATAATTGGAATCATTGTGGAGAACAAATTTGGAAAATATTATTTTCCTGAGCCCTCAAAAGAACAAACACGTGGAAATAAGTGGCATGCTGGTCATCTTGGAGGCCTGAGCTCAGAGACCACACTGGCATTTGGGAAGTGCTCTGACTTAGACTTGGTCTGACAGTGTCCTTGAAGGATTCATGCATTGGTATTCCATGTGGCAATGTTGATAACTGGTTGGGATCTTTAACAGGCCTAATGGATACACATGTTCCTATCATGATCCCTTTCATGTGTGGTGTTGCAGGAGGAGATTGGCCCTGTGCTGTTTAGATTTTTTTCAGCTTCCAAAATGTAAGCAGAATAAACCCTTTCTCTTAATAAGCACCAAAACCACAGGTATTTCATCATAGTGACATGAAGCAGACTAACAGAGAAGCCACAGCAGTGAGCGTTGACCCAAAGTGTGGCTAAGGGAGTAGATGAGTTGTAGCTGACAATTCTTTTCTTTCTGGCCTTTGAAAATATTAATATTAAGAAAGATATCTACTGTTATTAACATGGCTCCCTTTCCCTTATTATTTGGTGATTAGAGAAACATTAGAAGTAAGATGCATGGCCTGAGGATGGGGAGAGAAATCCACATACCAGGGTCTGAGCTGTTCCTGCACAGTCAAGGGAGAAATCCACACCTCCGTTGGTCAGTTCAGTGATGACATCCTGGACAGGTTTATCTAGGTCCTTGGGATTAAGGCAGTCAGTGGCTCCCAGGGCCTTAGCTTTTGGAAATTTCTCACTGTTGATGTCAATAGCGATGATTCTGGAAGCACCTGCTGTTTTACACCCAATTACAGCAGAAAGACCTACACAGCCCAGGCCGAAGACAGCGCAGGTGGAACCAGGGGTGACCTGCAGGCAGGACAAGTACAGGGTGACTTAAAGCTGCTGCTCTCAGCCCTTTTCAGGGGAGGGAGAGATAACTCAGACACATGATGTAAAGATGCCTGCTATAAAGCTATGATGTATCCAGTGGTGAAACCCTCCACTGTGAAGACAGTGCATTCCTACCAAAATTTGTACAATTATTCAAGGGCCATTGACACAGCAGTTCTTAAGGAGCAAACCCAAGTGGAAGGAATCCTGTTATCTCACCTTGCCCTTCAGTGATGTTAGAAAACAATTAAAAAAGCCCACATAGTCTAAAGGAGCATCCCCCTCCGAGACTGGGTCAGAGGTAAATAAGGTTCTAATGGACCTTATTTTGCTGCACAGTTGTTTTTGAGAGACCATTAACCATTAACATTTCTATAAATGCACTTGGTTATTCTAAATTGTCACTAATTAGGTGGGATGAAGTCTGAATGTCTTTGCATGGCACTGAAGGATGCTCCTCACTGGTTGGAGACATGGTCCCACTATTAGGCCACAGTGGCCTTGAACTTGAGACCATCTTGCTCAGGCCTCTACAGTGCTGTGTAGGACAGGCATGTGATACCACACTTGGTGAAGTTTTGGTGACTCCTATTTACCTTTCAGCTTAATTTCCATGATTTTCCACAATAGCCATATATGGTGGCACTCTTCTGTGTCTTAATCTCTCCCTGAGTTCAGCCAGTGTACTTGTCATCCAATTCCCTTAAGTTAAAGTATACCCTGTCCTTCTAGGCCTGGCGCACACAGCACTCTCTCCCTGGAACTGTTTTTGATTCTTTAATCAGAAATCAGTGCTGTTTTGCTTTTCTAATACCATGCACACTAGTTTATACCACCCCCTTTCTTGAATTGGTTTTGAATCAGGGCATTGCATTGTAAAGCAGGCTGACCTGGAACTCACTATTTAGCTTATGTTGGCCTCATAGTGATCCTTTGACCTCAGTCTCTCTAATGCTGGGAATACAGGCATGAGCCATTGTGTTGGCCAGTGTTGGCAGAGGCTTGTTTAATCTCCCACATTATTGAGGACTCATGTATACCAAGTCTTTGATGAAGAGCTTCTCACACTGACTTAAATAGACGCAATGCACAGTATGGTAAGAGAAAGCATGTAGTTGGCACAAATTCTTAGAAGAGTAGCAGAAAATATGTCACAGAGGAAGCTTAATTAGTATTTTTAGATTAACTGTTTAGATTAAAGAATGAGCAAAAAGAGGAGATAAAATCTGTCCAAGCGACATATTGGTGTCACCTAATTTGGAAACTTAATTAGTAAGGAGCACAGATGTTGCACATCTTTTAGTTTATGCAATGGGGAAAGACAGGATGTTGAGTAATCCTGCTGAGAAAACTGATAATAACATGCAGAAAAAAATAGGCTTTCTTTCTTCCTTCCTTCCTTCCTTCCTTCCTTCCTTTCTTTCTTTCTTTCTTTCTTTTTCTATCTCTTTCTTTCTTGAGACAAGGGTTTCTATGCAGCTCTGGCTCTCTTGGAACTCCCTATGCAGATCGGGGTAGCCTCAAATCCACAGAGATCCATCTGCCTGTGCCTTCCGTGATCAAAGGCAGGTGCCACCATGTCCAACTGACGCTTATACCATATATAAATTCAGCTCACAATGGGTTAAAGACAAATGAAACAGATAAAGTTATAAATCCACTAGATGAAACATAATGGAAAGTATTCATGGCCACAATCTGCACAGTGATTTCTTGGATCTCATTCTAAAGAGCATAGGATCTGGGGCAAAGATCATAAGATCAAACAAGGCAATTGTGGGCCTAGTGAGGTCCTGTTTAAAAAATCAGAACAAAACAAAGAATTGAAGCATAGGAAACAAAAGAAAAATGGACCAATGGGATTATATTAGTCTAATAATCTTTTGCATAACTGAGGAGACAGCCAACAGAATTGAGAAAACCTAAGAAATGGGAAAATATATTTGCAAACTATACATCCACCTCAGCGCTAATACCAAAACATCTGAGGAAATCTGCACAGACTGGTGACTATCACCAGCAGCTAATCTATGCTTAAATATTGCCGGGAATACAAGTCGAGGGTTTTTATTATAGTAGGTAATTTTGTGAGGAAATAGATATGTTATTTTATCATTTGACAGTGTATCTATCTATCATCGATTTATCTATCTATCTCTGTCTATCCATCCATCTGAACATCACATTATACTCCATGTATAATTTTTATTGATTAAAATCATCCAGGAGACAGGAAAGAAGGCTCAGCAGTTAAGAGCACCTTCTGTTCTTGCAGAGGATCCAAGTTTGATTCCTAGCCCTTACATGGAAACTGAGAACCATCTTTAACTCCAGTTATAGCGGATTTGATGCCCTCTTCCACAGGCACATGTATTTCATGGTGCATATACATGCAGGCAAAACACTCAGACACATAAAATAAATACATTTGATAAAATGTTTAAAAGAAAACCTAACCCATCAAAATCTAAATTCGGGAAGTCCAGCATGGTGTGGCTCATGCCTGTGATTCTGGCACTTGGAAGGCAAAGTCAGGAGGACCATGGGTTTGAGGGAAGCCTGGTAGATGTAGTGGTGGTGGTGTTGGTGGGAGAGTGAATGAGTGAGCTACAGATAGACAGATGATAGGTAGATAGATAAATGATAGAAAGACAGATGATAGATAGAAGATAGATAGGTAGATAGAAATGTTAAGAAATATTTGTTTACACTATGAAGATGTGTCTTTGCCAAGGCACCTTCTGAGTGGTGTAATAAAGAGCTGAATGGCTAATAGCTAGGCAGAAAGAGGTTAGGCAGGACTTCCAGGGACAGAGAGGGCTCTGGGAAGAAGAAAGAAACCAGATGCAGAGGAAGCAGCATGGAGAGAAGAGACAATGAGCATATGACAGAACATAGATTAAAGTAAATGGGTTAATTTAAATTATAAGAGCTAGTGAGACAAACCTAAGCTAAGGTTGAACATTCAGAATTAATAATAAATCTCTGTGTCATTATTTGTGAGCTGGCAGCTGGAAGAAAAATCCAACTACATAGTTAGCAATAGACTGACTTATATCTAATGTATCTAGTGGAGTCAGTGCTTCAGGGATGTCTGAGGCATCTACCTCAGACATCATTTTTTTTTTTTCAATTTCAAGCTATCTTGTCTCTTTGTAATCTAGCCTTGCAAGAGCATTCAAATTCTAATATAATTTCAGGAACACATCTTTCAAGAACATACTCTCTTGAAACCACAAGAGGATGGGAAATGGGCAAATTCTTATTGACTGAGGGAAAATAATCTATAGAATCAGGGAGAAAGCTGGGTGACTAAATGAAGATAGGTAGGGTTTCTCCATTTAGAGGTCATGTTTTGATGAACTTTATTTAAATCAGGGCACATCTATATGTAGCTTACTAAACCAAAGTTTTATATATGCAATATAACTTAATGTGCTCACAACTATTGATTCTATTATTTAGCGACATCTAATCACAGAGGCTGAACTGGAGATGTAGTTCTTTGGTATAGCATTTTCCTAGCAGGTGCAATGCCTTGGGTTCAATCCCCAGGCTGTGAAAACAGAAAATTACAGAGGCAGTAAAAGCTACAGCTAATTACAGTGGCAATAAGCAGTGTAGCCAGATTGTGAGGACAATCCTAACTCCTTTATACAACATTGTCTCCCAGTAACCTCTGTTTGCAGACAACATAACATTTAATGATGTACCTTGGCAGTGTTGATGGCAGCCCCATAGCCCGATGAGAACCCACATCCAATCAGACAAACTCTCTCCAAATTTGCCTCGTCATCGACCCTGGCAAGATTGGCTTCTTTAACTACAGTGTATTGAGAGAATGAACTGACTCCCATGAAATGATAAATTGGTTTTCCTTTGCAGGTAAATCTACTTGTTCTGTCTTCCATGAGCTCTTGATCAATATTGGGGCATTTAAAGTTCCTAGAAAAAGAAAAGGACACAGTGAAGAAGAGATATTGGATATCATATATTTGTCGTGAACTTTTTATGGAATCTAATGGAAAAGTTGGGAAAATAATTTGTACTTTTCACACCATACATAGTATTTTTGAGCTATTTTAGTGTTAGTACCAACAAACTACTGATGAGTTCTTTCTGCGTGCCAGATGCTCTTGTAAGGCTATACTGTTAATATTTTTTTTCCCTGCTAGGAAGTTCAAGTAAAACTAAAAATAGAATAATACAATGACCTTCCATGTACTTCAGTGACCTTCCAGCTTAATTAACTGTCATGTCCTGTCCAGTCAAACTTCACTTGTCACTCTGCAATACACAACTCTTCTCCCACATCACACTGTCTGATCTGTATTGAGGTATTCATATTTCTAAAGGATTCCTTTAAGTTGGCACATTGCATTTTACTAAGATGTCTTTTTAAATTTATACCCACCACACTGTAATTTCCTTGTGGAAAGCTAGAGTTGTTGGTCCCATAGAATTTCTGTCCTTATCAGTGTTGCTGGGAATTGTTCTAAAAGCTGGTTTAATCTGTTTCTCTGTCTCAGCATTGTCTCTTAAATTAGAAGTTTTTATTGAAACGTCTGATTCATATTTCATGTTTTTTTGGAGGGGATACTTCAAAGGTGGTGTGATACATCTTATTAATTTCTCTTTTTATACTACTAGAATTCATAGCCATTGTCTAAATACATAATTTCATTAACAGTTTGCAAAAAAGTATAGTTTTAATTCAACCTTACAAACTGACATTAGTATCTTCCTATAGATGAGAAACAGAGGCATGGATATGAGTAAAACGGTTTGTAAACTATTTGCTTATTACGTGTGTGTATGTGCGTGAATGTATATGTGTCACATGTGTGTATGTGGCACAGAGGCCAGGAGAGGGCACTGGATCTCCTGGAACTGGAGTTATAGGTGGCTAGTGATGTTGGTAGATGTTGGTAACTGAGCCCAAGTCCTGTACGGTACTAGTGACCACTTTTAACAGCTGAGCCATCCCTCCAGCCCAGGTTTTAGTTTCTTAAATAACAAGCTTCAATCAGCATTCAGGACAAATACATCAGTTTTAGGTGACTAAGATTCACAACTGTTGTTGTGTCTGTGTGAGAAATCTGGGTTCAGTACCTGAAGCTGTGTTGCCCTGCCGTAAACTAATGTAACTCTACATACTCATTCTCACTCCCCTAAAAGTAGATACAATTTTAACTTGGGATTTATCATTCCAGTGATGTGTTCATATTTTTGTTACATACACATGTAACCTTAAATTTTGGTACTGTCTTTCTGTGACACATATATAGGATGTCTTTTAATGTCTTGCTCCTTTCCCTTAACGTGTGTAAAATAGGTTAGTATGTATATTTTAAATCTAACTATTTTCATTATATGGTATTTCATTGTGTTATTATATAGCAGCAAATAAACCTATTCTTTTATTGAAGGACACGACTATGGTTTTTTTATTGTTCTTATAAGCCAAATGACTTATTTTTTTTCCAAAAAAATCTTTACGTTCCTTTATTGGAGCAAGATTCCTGATATATACAGTGATGTATTTACTAAACAGAATACTGTGCAGAAATTACATATAATCAATCTAGACAGATTTCGGTTACATTTTGCCTATTGATGGAGTAGTTCCATTTATGAAGTTTTATACATCAAAAAACTTCAAATTTGACTGGGCTATCCATTAATCATCTCTGAAAAAGAAGCTACATGACTTACAAGACTCCTCTCACTCTTATTAACAGTGGAGGGGGCTTACCGGAGTTTCCCACAGAGGTTTGTAAGAGGACTCAGACAGAACTTGCACTTTTTACACTGAGGTGCAAAGAATGGAATTACTTTGTCACCTAGAAAGAAAGGCCGTATGTTAGATGGTACCTAAGATGCAGTTATAGTTTCTGAAGTGTGGCTAGCATACGAATTGTTGGCAGAGAATTTGCCTATTTATGCAAGGTCTCAGGTTTGATTTCCAGCCATAAAAAAACTTTCTCTGAGATAAATAGTAGAAAACACCATTTTTTTTGTAGTATACATTTTATATTCAACAAAAATATACTATTTCAGTAGAATAGAAGACTGTGGGTTCTTTCAAGTACTGTACTTTTGTCTTTCTTAATCTGCGTGGCAGCCAAGTAACAGCCTATACTGGTATTAAGAGGTGTATGGTTCTGGCTGGGAATATGATCACCAAAGTCTCTGAGTATGACTGTTGTTTACTGCCTTCCCAAACACTCTGTATGGAATAGAGAGCATCCCAGTAGGACAGAAGAGCTGAGACATGTAGGCTAGAGGTAGAGCCTTGTATTACTGCCTATGTTGTACCATTCTGATTCATTTTCTAGCTCTTCATCCAGTTCCTATTTGGTTCTTTGACGCCCAATGAGATGATAATTTCACGCGTGATCAGCAGTTAGTGTGTGGCAGCCAAAACATTGCTTATGTTTTACTTCTCACATCTGCCATTTTAGAATAGAAAAATCCAAGTCCAGTCACAAAAAATGTAACTGACCCCAGTCATACAGCTAGTAGATGGGAGAGTCAGGACTAAAGGTAGACACTGGTCACACCTTTAACAATGCAGGTATTGAGGGAGCAATCTGCTTCAGTGCTCATACTTGGAGTGGAGAATACTATTGTGCCTTCAAGTTTGGATGGAGGGGTGATATGGCTCATCAGAGACTCACACCAGTATACACTGTATATGTTACACAACATGATGAGCCACTGGCACGCTTCAGGGTATTGTGTTTTATCTCCTGAACTCCCAAACACTTTGACTGAAATTGATATGTGTGTGATGCCTTTCCCTTAAGCCTCCTGCAAACTGTCACTCTTTACATAACCATAAAGTAAATTTCCATTTCACATAGAGGAAGTATTTGTGAAATAGTTGTGAGCCACGCAAGCTTCATTTTACACTAACCCTACAGCTTTGCTTCATAGGACAATTTCTCTGTTTACATAAATAACATGGCTGTATTTCTAGGATTTTTTTTTTTTTAGGCTATTCTGGTTTCAAACAGTCTGTTTCCTTGTTATGCCATGACAGATGGTTTGTGTCAGTGTTCCTTTAGGAAAGATGAACTCTGTCAGCAAAGCCCAGACAGCACAAAAAGCAAAGTCAATTGTGAGGAGCCATCGCAGGGAAGGCTGGGAATCGCTAGTTCATTGAAATCAAAAGGTAAAACACCTGGTTTGAAGTTGGTCACTCCTGGCCCAACACTTTCTACAATTCCAGCACACTCATGGCCAAGGACTACAGGAAAGAGAGCTTTCTTCTTAGGATTGGTAGCGTTGATGTCAGTGGGGCACACACACATGGCGATTACCTACAAAGCAACACAGATTTCAGCTGTGGCTCTATAGCTGTGTTCTTAGGCCCAGTGACACCATGAAGTGTTACAACCATCTTAGTCTTCAGTAAAAAAATTATATTTTGAAAAAAGGGACATATATCATTTACCATGTTATATTATTCTATTCCTGGAATGCAGTTTAATTTTCTAAATTTCATTGTTGCTGGAAAAAACCCTTACAGTGTTAGTGATACTGTTAGTAGGAGAGGAAACATCAAAGGTGAAAGGCAGGAGAGAACTTATACCAAGCAGTTGTGAGAACATAGGTCTACGTGGCCTTGTTGGAGGAAGTGTGTCACTGTAGAGGTGGGGTTTGTGGTCTCATATTTGCTCAAGCCACACCCAGTTTCTCAGATCACTTCCTGTTGCCTGTGAGTCGAGATGTAAGAACTCTCAGCTCCTTCTCTAGCACCTCGTCTGCCCGAGTGCTGCCTTACTTCCTGTCATGACAATAATGGACGAAATCTCTGAATTATAAGCACGCCACTCCAATTAAATGTTTTTCTTTATAAGAGTTACTGTGGTCATGGTGTCTCTTCATAGCAATAGAAACCCCAACCAAGACATAAGACAATGCATCTTTTTAAGTCTGCTTCTAAACTATAGCTGTCCATAGGAGAAAGTCAATATCCAGTTCAGAGTCAAGTCTGTATTGCTCAGCCGAAGTCCCTACTCACCTGAATTCGAACTTCATGAGCCTTAGGGGGAGACACTTCAACTTCTTCAATGCAAAGGGGATTGCCTGTTTCCCAGGCGATGGCTGCCTTGCATGTAATAACCTGAAAGACAGAGGAAGGAGAGAGGAGAGAGTTGAGAAGGAGAGTAGTGGTGGGAGAAGGAGGGAAAGATAGAATAAGATGGTTTTGTCCAAAAAAGGTCAATGCTATGGTGATACGAAACAGGAGTTTGTGACTAGATACTTGTGTTATTTTCAGGGGAAGATGCTTTAGCATATGCTAATTTCTACATTATAGCCATTGTAATTTTTATATTTTGAACAAACAAATACATAAAAATTTACCCTAATACTATGCCTACATATTTACCTCTATCACAGAGAAGATATACTTATAAGGCTTAAAGTTTGGTTGATAGTCAATAGGCATTTTTAACCAGCTCTAAAGTACCTGAGCCCAGGTCATTTGCCTAGATATGATTTGCTACTAGAGTATAGTCATTGGGCTAACTGTTAGAAGAAAGTTCAATTCTAAATCTGCTAACTTGGGATTGACCAAAGTCTTCAGATGATTAAAAAAAAATCTGGGAAGTGAGACAGTCAATTACACAATCAGTAGAGTGTAAGTTAAATAAAAATTGTTCTTTTTCTAAGAATTGAGTTAAAGTGCATGAAAAGAAACAAAACACCTAAAGTTTTACAATTAATTCCTACATTAAGTTTCTTAGTCTCAAATTACATTTTTAATTTCAAATATAAGTAAAGTCAGAAGAAAATTCAATATCTATAATCTTTTGTCCTTACTACTGCCTGTGCTATTGGTATCCATTTTCTTGACCATTTGATAACCTGCTTCTCAATTGTTCTGTGCAATATTTAATTATGGTTTAAATTGCTTTTTCTCATATTACAAACATAATGTACATTCATACAAGAAATTTCAAAATACAAGTAAGACAAAAAAATCCATTTATACTTTTATAATTTTCTTTCTCCTTATGTTAAAGCCTTTGGGTGTCCTCCATGAAGTCATATTCACAGCATTTTGCAATCTATTTTGTCCCATCCTTTCAATTTCTCTGCACTGATAGAGTGTAGGTAACTTAATTTTCTCCCTGCCCTCCCCCCCATTTAAATAATGTGTGAGTACCCTAGAAGATACTTGAGCAAATGCAGAGTTGTTTTCCTTAGAATGTATTCTAGCTTATGAACTACTCCAGTCCCTTTAGTTGATTTTAAATCACTGTGCCTTGAGTGTAGCCCAGAAGGAAGCATCTTCAGCCAATGTGTAAAGACACAACAGAAACAAGCTAAATGCAGATGTAGGTTGCTTACTTACTTTTCCCTTGGTGCCCATTTTCCTTGCTTGGGAAGCTTGCTTTGGAAGTGTCTTTCTGACTGGCCTTTCACCTCTACCCAGAATACTCTGTGTCCTGTGCTGAAAACTCTGAGTAAATAGCATTCCTGTTGGCTGCTTCTCCTATCACAACCCTGCCTGACTCCTGTGATATTTGTCCTGTCATAGTCATCCACAAACCCATTGCTCCCAGCTGGCACCAAGAGATTTTTTTAAAAATTAGCTCTTATCTTTTATTACGATATATTGAATAGAGAAAGTGCATTAATTGTATAAGGCTGAGTTACAAATAACTACTAAGTAGAGGTATTTCAATTGCTCTGCAACTTCCCATTTACTAATTCTTCTCTTTTACACCCTGATAATTTCCTTGCAGTTTGTGATTTTTACTACATATTTTTTCCTACTAATAGCTTAGTTTTGTTTATTAGTAAGTTTGTGTGAATAGGCTCATAGTGTCTACCATTTCGTGTGTTTCACCTTTAATTCTGTTTGTTGACCGTTCACAGTGTCTTTATTTATTTGTTTTATGTATATGGGTGTTTTGACTTCATGTGTGTCTGTGTACCACATGTGTGCATGGTGTCCATGGAAGCCAGAGATTGTCAGAGCTCCTAGGATTGGAGTTAGAGACAGTTGTGAGCTGCCACTTAGATTCTAGGAATTGAACCCAGGCCCTTGGGGAGAGTAGCCAGTACTCTTATTGCTGAGCCATCTTTCCAGTTGTAGCTTATTTTTCTTACTGTTGAGTAACACACTATATCAATTCACCATATTTTATGCACCCCCCTTTTCCTGCTGTTGTTTTCTTTTTGCTCACGGCGAGAGGCTCTTCATGCACCCTGCTGCACATGTGCTCGTTTGCTTAGGGACATCCAGGACGGATGCAGCCAGCATGTACTAACAGGGCATCACTGACTGTTGAAACACTGAAACACCTTTATTATGGGTGCTAAGAAGACCCTGGCTCCAAGGCTGCTGAAGTCCCTCTGGACTGCTGCAGGCAGGGAGTCCTGTAGTCACTGTTGGGGAACAACTCTGTGGATGCAGGGGCCTGGCAAACAGTCCCAGTGGCTGTGGGTCTCACAGTGTCCTCCATAGACAGCAGTGTTGTAGCCTAGCGCCTGCCTGACCTGGGCCTGTGACCGCCGGTGCGGTGGGCCAGACACACCATGATGGAATGTCTCCAACTGACTACCAACTCAATTAAAAAAAAAGAATGATATTTTATCTCTAAAATTTCAACCTTAGAACAATGCAAAAAATCATGTACCCATCACTCCAGATGGTGAGTGGAAGAGTTTGCCATCTCCCAAGTGCCTCCTGCTATATCTTCTTTAAAGTTCTGCTCTACAGCTGACTAGTTTTCCATCTTCTGACTTCATCCCCACTGGCAACTCTTCAGATGTGCACCTGTGATGGTCCAAGTGACTCAAGTTTACAAACTGGACCTATGAGTGACAGGATGTGGAGAGTCATGCTTACAGTCACCCGACTTAAATTTGATACTGTGGTGGTACATAAAGGCATGTAATTCTTTATGATCGTTGTGTCCCTGACCATCATTAAGGATAGGCAGTTTGGTGTTCTAGAGTCAGATCACAGTGTTTACTCATTAATTAATAAGATACTTGCAATTGCCTTTATCCGCTGAACCGTCTTGCTGATCCTGCTTTACATATTTTATATTTTGATCATGTAAAAGTTCTGTACTCTGTGTAATATAAATTTAATATATTTTTGCCATCTATTCTTGTTGGTTTGGTTCTCTTATTTATATCAGTTTTTTTCATGTTCCCATAGTATTCATTAGCTCCTCTTGACTTCAGTAGTTTAATATTGAATAAAGGTGTTTTATTCAACTTTACCAAGTATAGTGCACGTTTTCTCTTCCACATGCTTTTTTTCTTTTTCTTCTTTCTTCCTTCCCTTCTTTCTTCCTTCTTTTCTTCCTTCCTTCCTTCCTTCCTTTCTCTTTTTGAGAGAGGGTCTCTCTACAATGCCATGGCTGTCCTGGAATTCATTATGTAGACCAGGCTGGTTTCAAACTCAGAGATCTGCCTGCCTCTGCTTTCTGAGTGCTGTTTTGTTCGGAATTATACTATGTCTTGTCTATTCTAATTTTTCACTATCCGTCCTTCATTTTGTAATTCACTGCTTTCCATCTTTATCTTTTTTTTTAAATATTTAAAAAAGAGGTTATTAGTATTCTCCTTTAAAATCAAACAAATGAAAATTTCCAAATACCTATTCTTTTATAAAATTTCTCTCTAGCAGTGAACTTTGCTGGCTGTAATCATCTGTTTTCATGTTCATTATACTACAGTCCTTCCTTCATTCCTTTGTTCCTTCCTCTCTTCGTTCCTTCCTCCCTGCCTTCCTTTCTCCATCCCACTCATTCTCTCCATCCAATCCTCCATCCTCCCCTTCCCTCCCCTCCTCCTTCCTGCTTATCAAACTTCCTTGGTGCTTTAGCCTGGACATGCTAATTGCTTGTAGACATCTCTGTTTTAAGTGCTTATGTTCACAAAGCAAACCATCTCATTTTTTTCAAACTTGAAAATGACTCTCTCTTACCGTAGCTTTGACATGAGTGTCTGTTCTTTTACTCAGGGTTCCAAGGTTCCCTTGGCCATATTCTCTACAGCACTGACAAGCTTTGTGCACCCCCTTTCATTTCCTTCTTCCCACTGTTACTAATCTGCAGATAGGCTTCTCATTATTCCTTGTTTGCACTGTTGCAGTAATCTTGGTACAGAGTCTCTGGTTGGCACAGCTCTGTCTGCAGTCCTGTTTCAACACAAGATCCATATTCCTATTACTTTCTTTAAAATAGAAGGTTTTAAATGCTGGTCAAATTATTGTGCCTGCCTTGAGATTACAGTAAGTATTAACATGGATAGGCAGTAGTGCACCTTCCCATGTGTTTGCAATTGTCTTTGATTTCTTTTTTTCCTTCCTTCGTTCCTTCGTTCCTTCCTTCGTTCCTTCCTTCCTTCCTTCCTTCCTTCCTTCCTTCCTTCCTTCCTCCCACCCCCTTTTTCCCCCGGGGCAGGTCTCACTCACTGCGTAGCCCTGGTAGTCTTGGAACTCACTATGTAGACCAGAGTTGCTTTGAACTCACAGAGATCTATTTGCCTATCTTTTCCTCCTGAGTGCTGAGATTAAAGGCATGTATAACTATGCCAGGTTTTCAACAGCTTCTGTGAAAGTAAGTGTAAATTGAAGTTCCCAGAGCAAAGCCACTGATGTGATGTAGGGTCTTCAAATATGAGGACTAGGATTTGACTCCTAGAACTCATGTTCTAGACTCATGCTGGCCATGGTAGCATTTGCTTGTGATCTCAGCACCGGAGTGGCAGAGACAGAAAAATCCCTGGGATTCACTGGCCAGCTAGTGTGGTCTACCTGGTGAGTCTAGCCCAATGGGAGACCCTATCTCAAGGTCAAGGAGAATAGTGTTTCAGAAGATGACATTTGAGGTAGTCCTCTATTCACCAGCTGCACACACATGGGCCCTTACCAGGTATATACATGTTCACACATGCATTAAAATAATGATATTGTTGTTCATAACAAAGAGGGGTGAATTTTTGACCTCTGACTTGGGGGCAGGGCATAGCAGTAGTAGCAGGACTTAGAGAAGAGCTCAGGGAAACTGTGGAACAGGCCTGAATGAGCTGTGATGGGGAAAAGGAAAGCAGGGATTCTGTGAAGGGCTGGGACCAGGGAAAATCAAACCC